TCAAAACCTAGATAGTCTTATGTAGATAAGCACTAAAGAAAACCTAAGACTTTGTTGGCTAAATTACTCTATACTTTGATTTATTATTATTATTGCTACTACTCTTTTCACAAAAGCAATATACATTAACTCTAGAAAATTAAGAAACTGCACAAAAATATAAAAGAAAAATTACCTATAGTTTTACCTCTAAAAATATTTGGTTCCTATTATCAGTCCCTTATCTAAGCAATATACAGAGTGTTTTCTGTATATTTAAGTATCTACGTATAATAAACATAATTTTTTTCAAATTGGTATCAGCTAAAGAGGCTGTTTTATAATCTTTTTAAAAAAATTAATGATATATTATGAATGTATTATTTGGAACAGAATTTTAATACCATGAATTTGTATAAGAAGTATGTACTAAAATGTAAGTGATTTCTCATAGTTGAATATAGGGGAGTGTCTTCAAAAGTTGATGGAAAATTCATATTATGAAAAAATTACGCATGGATTTCTAACTTGTTTTGCACCAAAATAAACTCCTATTTTAATTCCACTTTCATTTTTTGAAGTCCCCACATATTTATTTTCTTCAAAAATATTTGTTTGTTTTAAATAAATAGCTACGAACTTCGGAATAGCTTTCCTCTGCCCTTAATTCTGCAATTTCAAAATGAAAGACATTTTAAAAAGTAGAATTCTTGGAAGAAAATACATCTGAAATTAAGATATTTGATCATTTATAGGGTACCTCTTTAGAAAAATGATGCAAATTAATGTGTCCTTAAGCAGTTTATTGGAGTCCCCTGACCCTCTCACCCACATTAGGTACCAACATTAAAAACCACACTAATTTGCCAAGTAATCATCTAAAGGAGTTCATTTGTTTCTAGCACATTTCTCTAACTAATAGGAAATATGTTGAAACTCCTCCTCAGTTGACTCAGTACGGGAGTCTCAATACTCATAGTTGCAATAGATTTGAGTTAGAAAAGTCTTTAGGATCAGCCATGGAGGGCTTTGGGTGACAAGTAGAGAGGACTAGATTCCAGGAGTTTGTAAGAGGCTTGGTACTACCGTCCTAGAGAGCATCTTGGAAATTTGAGCACACATTTTGGGTTTTTACAATCTTTAGGGGTTGCTACTGGTGTTCGGTGGTCGGGAACGAGAGAGACTAGCTGCCTTGTGATGTGTAGTCCCGTGCAGTGAAAAACTGCCCAACATCTTGCATAGTATTCAAATATCCTACCGGAAATGCATGAAGTAAAAAGCCTGCTTATAATGATTCAAGCCTAAAACCAACCTCTATTGTACATATGAATGGCAAATATTCTGAGCTCATTTTTTTTTTAAATGAAGTTTTTGACTACCAGGTGAAACAGGGAAAACTATTTCCTTCAGAGATTTACCCAAAATTGTGCATCATTTTGAAAATTATGTCACTAAAGCCACAAGATTCTTATTATTTACAATACCACCCGTAATAGCCTGTATTTGCATACGGCTCATATTCACTGAGTTTCTAAGAGTATGTGCATAGTCCTATCACTTCCTCATAGCCTTTAATACTGTCACGTCCAAGCAGTTAGATAACAAAGCACGCACTTTTATTATAAACTAATTTTTCCTTCATATTTCACGGGAGGTCTTATATTGCCTTCTACAAAATTATGTATGTGGGTAGGTCATACTTCTATTGGTTTCATTTTAGGAGAGTAAAGGGAATGTTAACACTATTTGTTATAAATAGTGGTCATTGGGTCTGACAGGGTTGAACACTGCTGCTGCAGAAAAAGGAAGGTAATTCAGTCTTCACACAGAAAAGTGATACGGAAAAGCAGAGCTGGGGCTATGAAACTACAGAGAGTAAAGAAAATAAACTGGAAAAGAAGATGCCAAGAGGTAAAGAGACCGGAATAGAGACAAATACCACCTAGGAAGGAAGTGATGAAGACCTAGAAAGCCACAATGCCTGAAAGAATTGGGAAAAAAGAAGCATTGCAGGGAAGACATCTTTAAAAGAGGTCATTGGAACTCAGTGACTGAATATAGCAACACAGAAGGACAGTTCTGGTATTATTAGACCAGAGAGTGATTTTTGTCCTCAAAAATAGCCACACATGTGCACACATACTTGCAAGCACATACACACACATTTACACACTCGACACTCTGGATGTATTAACAAATAATCCCTCTCTGCTTTGGCTGCCAAAGGGAAGAATAATTGTACCACTGATTCTGAAATCTGACAGCTCAACCAGACACGAGTCTGAATCGGAGGGGCCAAGATGTATTCGGCTTATTTATTTGTTTGTGATTCTCCATCCAAGATAAGCCCTGAAATAAATTTCAAGCGTGCTTTAAGTGCATTCTAGGTTATAAATCATAAACTTGCATTCTCATACTACAGTAAGCATAAAACCACATAGACCAACAATAGATGCATAGGATTCCCTTTCCCCCTGCCACATTCACGCACACACACACACACACACACACACACACACATACACACACCACACAGAGAGAGAGAATAATAGGAAACCAAGGAGCTGAGGACCAATGATAATTTGCAGCACACATTTCTACTAATCAGAGTAGCCATTACAATTAAAAACGTATGCTATTAGACCAGGCAAGAGGGAAATACACTTTAAATGGCAAACCATCATTTCCAAAAGGAAGGGATAAAGAGTCATAGGTATGAACTGGAAGGGAATAATTGTTGACAGATATTAGACATAAAAGAATGTCCCAATTCATGTTTGATTTCCGATTACCAGGAAAAGTAGATAATATTTTTGAAGTATCTGCTTTCAGCTAACATATTCAACCTCAATTTCAAATTTCCCAAGAATCAGCAGTAAAGGAAGGGTGAGTTAAAAATAGCTCCAGCATAAAAAGACTACCTAGGTACCCTGTTTCCTATCTGTGCAACAGGACCGAATCAGTACAACACAAATATCCCATTCTTACTTGCTTTTCTTAGCAATCAGAAAAAAGATTTCTAGCTTAGTGAGAAAAAGATGGTAACTATATCTTTCTCAACTTGACACAGTTTCTCTCCCTACCCTACCAAAACACGCCAGTCACATTCCATTAAAGTAAAAAATGTTTCCCTAAACCTCACCATTAAATTCGTAGATTGTCCAGTTCTTTTTATGGGTTCCTTTCCATCGGAAATGTATTCTTAAGCACTTTCCTATTCTCGCTGTGTGACAAAAATACAAGACAAATCGCAAGGACCATGTTAACTCCTTGAGATGGGTAATGAGGGCCTGTCTAGGCAAGGGCATAGATAACACCATCCATCTTTCCCCATCTTTGCTACCTGACCTCAGATGTGATAAGAGATATAATATTTATATATTCATTATCAATTATGTTATAATGGGGAGGGGGTTAGTGAGCCAAAAGATAAACAGAAAATGACCTAACATTAAATGCACCTAACGTTGCACCAGGTGAAGTTATCCTTAAAGGCTTTGCTTGGGCATCTTCCTCTAATTAGGCTTCAGTAAAAAATCTACATTCTGCCATGGAAGACAGTTCCATGACTCTCCCTCCCTCTACAGTTCTCATCTTACCTCCCATCACTGCTCTTGTATATCCCTGTGGTCTTCAGATCACACACTCTTCTCTTGATACCCTGGGTCTCCATGCTGACATTCTTCCTGGGATCCATTTCTTTACAACTGCCCCCTGATAGGCACCTACTTATTGCTCAAGACTCCATGCTGCCGTCATACACTGGAGTCAATCTTTCCTCTCTGCTTTGACTGTATTGGTTTATTTCCATCCAGCACTTACCAACCCTGCAAATGTCTCCTTACTCCTTGTTTCCAAGAACATGAGCTTCTCAAGCACAGAGACCAAAGCAAGTCCTTTGGAAATCTGCAACTCCAATAATGCACAGCATCGTGAGCATTTAGGAAATGTTTGTGGCTTGCCTGACTGAGAAATGTTTGCTTTCTTTTAAAGGACAAACACTAGAGCTGTGGACTTTTTAACAAAAGCTGTTGAAACAAGCATTGTTTTTCTGATTGAAGGTAGGGAGAGGTTTGCAATCACAATTTTTCCTAACCAGCATCATGGAATCAGTTGTGCTTGCCTTTAGAAGGAAGACACAAGGGGCAGAGAATGGTGCTAACCTATCTCAAACTCTCATGTCACGGCCACAAAATCCCAAGTGGACCCTCTGTGGGTACACTCTCAATGTAAATTATGTTCATACAGCAGGAGAGTCGGATCAAGGGGTGTAGGGGTGTTGACTCATGAGACTTCACAGTTCTTGACAATCTGGATTAGTAGCAGGATTTTAACTGTCAGGGCCATCCTAGGTGAGGTATAGATGTGGTCAAAGCAGTCCCTGAAATCAGGGGCTTCTTCTCACTTTAGATTGTCAGTACTCAACAGCTGTGTGAAGACACTCATAAGTACATGTTGTTCAACCTACTGCCGGTGTATCTTTCCTTTCTAAAGGAGTCTAAGATGCCAGGTCTCCATGGACAAAGAATTCAAAAGGTCTTACTTACATTTACAAAGGATACCAGATTTAGACTTTTAACATTATTTCCACGTAAAATGATGCAAGAATCACGGAGCTGCACTAACAGAGTTGAAAGTAGTCATTCATTACACAACTTTGACCTTGGGTCCTGTGACCAGAACAGAAGTGCACTATGAATCAAACTTACAATAACTATGGGGAAAAAAAAATTCCAATAAATTCTCTATCTTTCAAATAGCACAACTGTTTTGAATTCGTGTGTGTGTGTGTGTGTGTGTGTGTGTGTGTGTGTATGTGTCATACGCGTTAACTTGCTAAATATAAAAAATGTTTACAACTGCTTGGCATGCTATTATTTTCAATAGACTAGAAGCCATCTTTTTTATTTTTTTTATTTTCAAGAAGTCCTACCAAGCACAGAGGTTATAAGATGAATAGACAATGGGCAATGAATCCAATCAATCAAAAAAATATCAAATAGAATTTACTTACTACTTACCAAATGAAGTTTGGCCCAGTACTCAGGTCCTTCTTTCATCGCCCTGAGGCTCGGTGGAATGTACCAAAAGCATATATTGGCATATTCAGGCTGAAGAGTAAGAACATTTGAAAGCTGTTTTGTTACCCTAAGATTTACTCTGAATGCAATTAAACAAGTATTTTTCAAACTCTTAGCCAGCTTCATTAGAAGTGATCTTGTGTGTAACTTTGCTAACAAATCGCAATCTCACGAAGTAGATATTCATCTTCCTTCACTTCTAATGACAGCCTACTGGAAAATTTTCTTCTTCTCTTGTTTGCACCCAGAGGATTCTCTTCCCTTTAGATAATAGATAAGCATATGGGACCAGCAGATAGCATAATTGTTATGTCGCTGGACTTTCACATTGCCAACCGCGGTTCAAGTCCTGGACCCAGTGGCTTCAAACTCATGTCAGGCACATGTGTGGCCATGCCCAAAATCCCAAGAGGAGAATGGAGGAGAAGGGACTGTGGCATGGCCATCCTCCCTGATGGGTGATTTCTTGCTTTCTGTCTGTCTCTCTCTCTCTATCTCTCAGGTGAGCGTATGCACCATATAGTAAAAATATCTCTTAAAAAATGGATAAACACAGATCAGGAGAAAACATAATAAAGCTTGAAACTGACTCAACCTGATTCTAACCACTAGGTCATGCCTAATACACATATAATCAGAGACCACTGGGTTCCTTCCTCTTTAACACTGATCCTAAAGTTATTTATTATACCACCAACTCCTTCCAATCATCCCTTCTCCACTTAAAGCAGCCAAAGTTGGCCTTTATTATTGACTACACCTTAAAATGCAAAAGCCCTGATTACCTGTGAGTGGAAAGCAGCAGGGCATACTCAGGCTTCACTAACCAGCAGTGCCATGACCTAGCCATTACTACTATAGAAAATAGCAGAGCAACATCTCAAGTCCTGGCTCTCAAACATCAAGAAGAATATGAATCAGCCTGAGACTTGTTCAGAATGTAGATTATCTGTTCCTGTGCATGCAGTGAGTGCCTAGACTCTAATCGCATCCATCCTAAAACGGTCTAAGGAACTGTCATTTTATGAGCATGTCCAGGGAGTCTGAAGAGGGTAGTGTGTGGTCTATGTTTGAGAAACTCTAACCTACCCTAAGAAGCCATATCCTAGTGATCTTGCTCACTGATATGTTTTTTCTATCAGATGTGATTTGGTTAAACATACGACAACACTCTAGAAAAGGTGTGAGCCCAGCCATTGTCATGCAGACAAGGCGTTGTCCTCACTGGACAAAAATACAGAAAGTGACGTACCAGAGGAAGTCACAAAACTTGTACTCAATCAACTAGGTAATCTGGGACTTTTTTTTGTGGGTCCACAAAACAGACATGTAGAATTGTAGTTAGGAAAGAGAATGAGTCACACACACACCTTCTCATTTGGTGCTTAGCACTGGCAGTACTTGAAATGACTTCCATTGTCCCACCATAAATATACACTTTGTAGGTAGTCACCAATGTTACAATACTTCTCAATAATCAGCAGAATTACCCTCCAGTGTCAGTACAAAGATTCAAAATAATTTATAAAAAGAAAACTATATCATAGTTTTTTGTTTCGTTTTTTATTTTTGCTATAGTGTACGTGCACTTGCATGTGTGCATGAGAGAGAAAGGAAGTGAGAAATCATCCCCAGTGGGGATGGCCATTCTGCAATCCCTTCTCCATTGGGCACACACATGTCATCTCATATCTTAAAATCAAGACTCAGAGTATATGGAGTTCTGATTTTAGTGGGTTTTAAATCAGGAGTGAACTCCCAGAAACATTCCCAGTTCAATAAGATAAGTTCTTGATCTGCACATCCTTTCATCTTTGGAAATTTTAAGAGCCTTATTGGATTTGACAAAAAAAAAAGTGCAACAAATCTTTAAAATACATCATTAAAAATGAAGTATTATGTAACTCAACCCAATTTCCATAAGCATTTACCACAAAACTAAAGTAGTTTTTCCAATCAACACGATTTTCTACTTGGATTCCTGATTCATAACTGATTTGGCTTCTCTAGGATAGAATGCACTGGGCTCCCAAATACCTAATGTGATCATTTAATGTGAATAAATCCATTCACATAAAGTAATTATGACTGCCTCAAAAGTAGAAGAAGAATATAGTAATTTTCTGTCTCTAGATTCTAGGAGTGCATGTCTTTATATCAAAGAGGATTTTCCCCTAAATATCATTTATGTCAAGTTATCAGGTTATTGTGTCTCAGCTCCAAGTCTACTCTTACTTGGTATCCTGCTAAAATGGAGATGGACTCTAAATATTTCTCCAGTCTTGAATGTTGTCAGTAGAGGGCGCTGGAGGGACACTAGAAGGGAAGAGGTATGTCATTCTGGGGTGCTCACCTCATGGCTCTCCTACAGACTGTGGTTCTTGTCAGCTGTGCTACATGGGCCAGCAGCAAATGGGCTCTGGGAAGCTCCCCCAGTACACCCTCCTTGGTTGGCATCACAACAGATTGGCAACAGATAAGGGGCCGGCAAAGTGCATTTTAGTGGTTTATTCCCCTCCTATAGTTTCATACACAAGTGATGCCTCCATAGGACCTTGCTTTGGATAATTCCTTTGGGCTGGCATCCCCTGGGGTAGCTGGCAAGGGTTCTAAGCTATGGCACCTCCTTGTGGATGGCTTCCATCAGCACTCTCAAAAGTGGATTTCTAGTGAGTCCTATCAACTTGACACCTCAGTGAATTTCCCGGCCATCCTGTGAGCCATTGTCACTCTCTCTCAGAACATTAAATCTCAGCCTTGGGAGGATCTGGTCTCTTCTTTGGGTGATCGTCTCAGTTCTAAAGGTGGTGACTGCTCTCTATTAAAACTATCCCTGTATATTTTTTAGCATCCTTTTTCTCTTCTATGAGATGAGCCCCCATGACTCTAATTCCCTGTTAATAATTCTTTATATTATACATTCCCACTTCAAATTACTGGGCAGTTTCTGTTTTCTGAATAGACCCTGACTTATCCATCATCACAGTCGTTATTTCTTTTCACCTGCCAGGGAATTTTACTGAATGTTCTGTAATACCTTTATCTGCTCTGATAGGTTCTATATTTTCGAAGTTAGGACCTAATCCTTTTAAATGTGTTTCTTTCAGTAAGTTTCTATTTAGCTATTTTAGTCATGACATGTCTATGATTCTTTTTGCCCAAACATTCTCTTTGAGAATGACATGAATTCAGTGATACGACTTTTGAAAACATGTAAAATCCTCTGACGCTTGGTTTTGTTGAAGGATATTCGATTCTCCATTTGGTAGAATACCTTCATTTTAGTCATTTCCAAAATTAACATTTTGAAAAAAGGCTTTGAATGTTCATAAAGAATTCATTGGAGTTTTTCCTGTCTCTTTGCCTCTACAGCTTGCATTTTATATAGTGACTTTCTTCAAGAGGCTTCAAAGCACTAATGAGTATTTTCAGAGTAGAGCCATTCACACTATACTTAGTTTTGATTCCATACATACATGAAAGCCTCACCTCCTGGGTGTCTTAAGAGCACATTTAGTCTATGTTCTCTAAAAACCATATAATTGGGAAGGCATAAAAAAGGATCCAAGTGTCTAGTGAAGTGTACAAAAACCCTGTAGCCGCAAGTGCATTGTCATAATCTTTAAAAATTCATGAACTGAAGATGTGCCATTACAGAAAAGATGGACACAGTCTCTCCTGATTTTCAAACAGGGAAAAAAAAAAAAAGTAGACATTTCCAAGGTGCTTTGATGTCAATTCCAGAAAGGATCATTGAGCAGATGATATGAGACCACTTGGGAAAGAAATTAGTAGTTATGAAGAGGTAGCAGCTTGCGTTTTCTATAACCAAGTCCTATTAAAATAAATGCATCTCCTTTGTTTACAGTGTCACTAGATCAAAAGACGAGTAACAAAACAAAACAAAAGTTAGCACCATGCATTTCAATAAGCATAGGTGCATAATCGAGCACACAGATTCAAATAGTCACAGAAATACAGAATTGGAGAAAAGTTGGTGTGGTAGATTTTAATTTACTTGAAGTTCATAGGTTTTAAATACTGTAAGATTAAGGTATTGGATCAACTTCCCAGGCAGCACAGAATAACACAAAAAGCCTGGGTTTTTGAAGTCATAGGATGTGGGTTTGAATTCTAAGTTCATCAAGTCTTTGCTTGGATAAGTGTCGAACATTCTAAATTTCCACTGCCTAAACTATAAAATGAAGATGAAACTATCTGTCAGCCCTACAGGGTGTGTATGATGAATAAAGAGAATTTATTTCCAACATTGAGCACCATATCTGGTACACTCTATTAGATTAGTGATTATTATTTAGGGCTATATTGTTAGAAAATGATGTGCTTTTCAAGGGGATAAATAGCTTGGGACCAGCAGTTAGTGTAATGGCTATGTCACTGGACTCCCATGTAGTCAACTGCAGTTCACGTCCTGGACCTGGTGGCTTAAAACTCATACCAGGTGTGTGTGTGCATGCGTGCCCAAGATCTCGAGAGAAGAATGGAGGAGAAGGGATTGCGGTGTGGCCATCCTCCCTGGGGGGTGATTTCTCGTTTTCTATCTCTCTGTCTGTCTGGCAAGCGCACATGCCATGTAGCAAAAACCTCTTCAAAAGAAAAAAGGGATAAACAGCTTCATTGAAATCTATACTAGTTGAGACATAACACTATGGTAATTTCTTGGTGCCATATTTAAAGAGGAATATTAAAAACCTATAGAAGATCCAAAGAAGGGCAACCACACTGTTGCAGAATTTTCTATGTTATAAATATTGGAGTAGGCATTGTGCAAATAAATTTCTATGGTATAGGTATTGGACTAGGCATTGGGAAAAGAAACAACTTACACTACATACATGCTTCCAGAGACTCAGAGACAAGCAACAGAACTAGGTATAGGCAGTTAAACTGTAATGGAATGACCACTACAAAAGAAAAAAAAATCTTTCAATCTAAGAAATACTCCTGGCCAACAAATAAAATAAAATAGAGTGCATGTAGAAGGCCATGTATTTAGGAGGATGGCAAAT